CACCAGCAAGGAGGGTGTGCAAGAGGCAGCCGATCAATGACTCTCTCATCATTGATGTTTCTATCTCTCTCTCCCTCTCCCTTCTTCTCTCTGAAATCAATACAAACAAAAAATAAATCAATGGTAAGACATACTTCTCACTTTTCAGTTTTGAGCACTGTTTAACTGGATTAAAATGAGGCTTAAATCTGTAAAGCCTGTGATTATTATAAAGAACCTTACTTTTTCCTTGACAGCTTGACATCTGATTCCTTAAAAGGAAAGATACAGTTTGATTCAGTACATGGTGCATGTAAGGAAACAGAAATGCAAATCTGCATTTTATTTCTCACGTGTCACTGATGAACCATATTTCATTTTCTTAAAATAGTTAATAAAAGTTTTTGAGCACTAATATTTCCTAGAATTGTCATTTCTCTCACTTGCATGATAATGAATTCTCAGCAGTTCTGTATATTAGAGCTATTTTATTAGACAATTTCTCAGCTATTGATTTTATAACTGTAGTGTTTGGTGAAAGGAGGAGGGGGCAATGGAAAGAACATTGTCAGGGAGGGGAGTGTTATTTTACCTTTAAGTTGTTATTTTTGTATAAAACAAAATTCAACAAATTTCTAATATTTGAGTATTGCACAGGAAGAAGAAACTTTTCTTTATCCTTCTAGGTTCTTTTTGCTTGAATAATAATTAAATCTACATGGAACAGATTAACAAGAGAAAATAACCAAATTTAATTACATACTTATGTATGTAATTAAACACCACAAACATGAGAGGCTCAGAGCTAAGGATGAGGTATGGCATTTTTTGCCTTCAGAGAGTCATTGCCACACCATAGGAAGAAGATTAGTAGTTTGTCCTGTCATAAAGATTGGACAAAAAGGTTATCTCTAATAATCTTTTATTGTGGACAAGACTCTTTTTAAGTTTTTTAGGAAGTTAAGTGGGAGCAGAAGTTTCTCTTGAATCTTCAGGGTATTAGTTGCCCTTAAATCAAAACCATCTGCATACCAAAGAGAAACATATTGGGGTGACTCATTCTGAACCCCTATAATATTGAAGCATATTATACAATAAAGCTATTTAACTGACATATTTAAATGGACAAGATAGATCCACATAGCATTAAACATTTAACCATTAAAATGTCATGCCACTTAGTGGACATTTGAATGTGGCATTATACATTTGACAGAAGGCAACCAAGACAAACATGACACTGCTCACAGTTGACAAAAAATATTTACATCAGATGCTTAGTATGTGCATGGAAATGCAACTCTAATAAACTCGGTTTAGAAATAATGTTAAATCTGAGACCTGAGCACAAATCTGCTTAGAAACTCTGATAACACAGGACACTTTGCTCACATACATTTGAGTGTTTCTACTTTGCTTACTGTAGAACTATAAAATCACCAGCTAACTTTGCAAGTCCACCAAGAGTATGTCCTTAATTCATTTCCTCATGTATTTGTCCCACCATTAAGCTACATCTTCATGGCACTACTGTTATACTGACCACATCCTGGGTTTGTTTCCCTGCTTTGGAAAAACAAACAAAAACTCCCCGCCACCCTCTGCATCTAAGTTCTACCAGGTTTTACATATTTTATAGACTTGTATATTAATCACAGTTAATAGTCTGTCTTTCCCTTTTCCCTAAGTTAAGGGTCAGCAAACTTTCTCTGTAAAGGGCCAGAATAGATATTTATTTATACAACACAAGGGAAAATAAACTTCAAACAAAATCTCAATTGATGATATTCAAATCATCAATTATAGTAATAATATGCATATTTTTTACATAACACAGACCCGCTAATGAGATAAAAGGATTTTTGTATCTGATTTCTGAAAATGCCTTTTCACACAGATAGGTACTGCTAAATACTGATATAAATCTACAAGCACATAGTTTTAGCTCAACATATCTATATCTTGGAAGGCATGTAAATAATTCTATTAAATTATTTTCTTTATATTTGTATTAAGCATGCCATTACATTGAAGATTAATAATTTCTAATTGAACTTTTGGCAAAAGGTCCTCAATTTGTTGCATTTTTGCATATTTGTTGCAACCCATTGAAAATTCATGTGGGGATGGAGATTTTGCTTCTTGTTTTAACTTCTATAGTGCTGGAGCCTATAAAGTAACTTGACATTACTTTGATGCAAACAGTTTTAGTCAGCAGAATTACTTTACTGCATCATAAGTTTTGCATGTAAGCATTGTTTTTACCTTATAATATTAGGTTGATTTATTAAGAGACATTGTCAAGTCTGCAGCAAAAATTAATTTGAAAAGTGATTCAGTGTTTCATAAGAGGGTTCAAGAATGCTCCTCATTCAGCAAAATTTCAATCTTGTCTCTTAGTGAGAAAAATCTCAATAAAACTTTGTCACAACTAAGCCATCCAACTGCTTATGTGTTAGAGCATGTCTGGATATTTAGCTGTGTTTTTGAAAAAAGTTTACAGAATGACAATGGTTCTATTGCCAATAGTAAATGAAATTCAATGACACAGGACAAGCTCAAGTATTTTCCACCAAGTACTGGCTGATGAATAATGCAATAAGTAACCAGAGGTTTTGAACACCTTACATTTCCCAAGCCTCATAAATTTGCCCACCTGAGCTTTTTTTCTGTGCCACATATGCTTCACCCACCATTAGATGTAACACTTCTTAGCAGACCCCATTTCAGATTTTACTGAATTACTGTTTTCTTAAATTTTTGAAATTATTCTTTCCTTTTCTGTTCCATGCAGACTATCCTATCTTATCCTATCCTATCCTATCCTATCCTATCCTATCCTATCCTATCCTATCCTATCCTATCCTATCCTATCCTATCCTATCCTTCTTTTCCAATCCTGTTCTATGTAATTCTCTTCTATTCTATTCATAGAGGCTAATTCTTCAGTCATTTAAAATCTGGCATTGCTTCCCCAAGTAAATAACAACAATTAAGCATTGTTGTAACATCTGTTAACTCATGAAGACAAGGAAAACTGCTCAGAATCATTTGTCTTTGTTTTGTTTTTAATTCACTATTGATGTAGCTGTCAATGTCCTATACTTTTTGAGTAACTGTACTTGCTGAAAGGCTGGTAGTCTTCAATTTCTTTTCTCTTGGCACATTTTCTTTGACTGTTGTAAACAAAATTTAATTAAGTCATCATTAATAAGTGGTTTTCTCTGAATGGCTAACCAATAGGCCTTTCAGACTTACTTTGGTCACAGCCTTCTTTTATTTTCTTATTTTTGTGAAGAAATTCTGCTGTGACGAGATGGTCCATTTTGATTTTCTAGTTTTTCTGACTGTTGATTACTTGTGAGTTGGAATATTGTAATGAGTGCTTGGTCTGTTCATATCAATGTGTATTGTATTCTTTTTGTCACACATATAGTGTCATTGCATAGTAAACACAACTATCATTTAATTTGATAACAAAAAAATTTTGCCCAACTGGGACTTAAAAGTGTAATGTCCCAAATTTGATCATCTATTTTCTTGATTTGAGATAATGGGCATGCACTAGTAATAAAATAAAATATAAAATAAAATAAAAAATAAAATAAAAAAACTGTGGTGGCTAGGCTATATATGTGGGTCACTTGATAGTTTAAGGGAAGAAAATAATTTTCCCTCTACTCTTCTAAGTCTCTTGGCTGAGACCCTATAATAAAGGACCAATTAAGAGGAGAAAAACAAAAGTTGAATAAGAAGTATATTTCTTGTATTTATGGGAAAACCCAGAAAAACTGGGTAGCTCTCTGAATGGGCCAAGACATCATCTTAAATATCATCACTAGCTAAAGACAAAAGCAGATTTTGGAGGTGGGGGATCCAGTTATGGGAGACTATACAGAAAAGCACATTAAATAGGGGTACATTTGTTATGCAGATTTGGGTCTGCAGCTTTCTCCATTGATAAGACTTTCTGGAGATTTAACCATCCTTCTCCTCCAGGTACAGAGAGGGAGACTCCCTTACAGAAGAGAATCTTCCTTTTAAAATGTAAATGTGCTTTACAAAAGGGTAAGGTCTGCTTGGCTTCAGAGCTTTTTCTATGTTTACTGTTTCTTTAAAATAATCAGCCTCAAATAATCCTCTTACCAGAGATAATTTTTGCAGTAGTAAATTCTTGTCCTTTTCAAAACCTTATGTAACTGTAAATTGTAGTATGGCAAACAACAGTGTGATGTTTTGAGAGACATAAGATATCTGCCACTACTGCTCAACCATGCTTATTATAGCGAGAAAGCTTCCAACAGTCACTGAGTTGGGTTTTCTTAGCTTTCTTGAAAAATATCTTCCTTTCATAGATCAAATGATACTATTTATCAAATGTTTTTCACATATGTGAAAATCACACATGTAGAACATGTTATAGTATACATTCAATATTTTAAATGAAGAGAATATATTCTATGTCTTGAGGAAAATTACATGGATAAAGACATCTTTTCAAGACCTTGATAATTATTCTGAGTTGGTAAGTTTGGATCTGTGTATCAGTTCATAAATTTATTGGCATTTATAACATTTATTAAATGCCTTTGCATTATAGCAAATTTACGATGTGTTGGCACACACAGAATAGATTTAAATTTCAGACAATGGTGACTTTCCAAATACAAGCTATTAAAGCAATTGAATTGTAAAAGCATTGGGTTGAAAGCCCTTCCAGCTTACATTTCAACCATTTAAATATTTTAAGTTGTCCTTTACAATCCCGTTCATATGTCTAATGGAACTCTAAAATGTAATAGTAGAATGTAAACTCAATGAGAAAAGGGATTTCTTTTTTCTTTTTTATTCCTGATACCTAGAGCTGTGTCTATCACATTGTGAATTCTAAATAAGTAATTTAAGAAAAAGCTATTTACCCAGGCACTATTTACCTATATTTGATGCATGTGTGCAATGCACTATGTTTTTCTCTTTTAACAAACCACTTAAAAACACTTCTATTTTTATTCCTTTTAAAGACAACGAAGGAGGTTGTGAGATCTCGCACCCCCATGAAAGAGACAACTGTGGAGATCTGGATACATCCCCAACCACAGGTATGAAATTAAAGACTTAATAGTTCCTCTTTATTCCCTTTAAATGATTTTTATAAATGTATATGAAATATGCTTTTAAAATATTTATTTATTTTATAGTTTTTTATTGTTTCTTTGAGAGAGAGAGAAAGAGAGAGAGATTTGTTGTTCCACTTATTTATGAATTCATTGGTTGAATCTTGTATGTACCCTGACCAGGGAATGAATCCTCAACCTTGGCATATCAGGATGATGGTCCAACCAACTGAGCTACCCAGCCAGGCTCCTGAATGTATAAGAAATATTTTTATCTTGTGTTTCTCAATGTATTTTCTATGAAGTTTTATTAGGTGGTTTTGTGCTAGACTCTAATGTGATAATATGACAGTAAATACATATTTCTCCCTAGTATGGTTTGATGATAATAATGGAGTTCGTTTATTTGTTCAATCAGGTATAAGCATTCCTCAAAAAATATATTCTAAATGATTGTCTATTCCTTTAAATGTTTAAGTTTACTTATGAGATCGTGTATTGAAAAAAGTTGAGGATTCCTGTTTTATAATATTACTTAAATTTAAGGTTTAGCCTTGTTAAAGAAAAAAACACAGGCCCAAATATTATCAGTGGAAGTGGAGTTCTTGGGATGCCATGAGGAAAATAATTTTCTGAGGCTCCCACAGGAAAATGCAGTTTGATGGAAAGCTTTATTGATGATGTAAAATTAAGGAGGTTCTCCGTCAACTTCCCATCTCTCTCCATCTCGCCATGGAAGAAGTCCAATCTTGTCTTCAGCAGGGCCAGAATTAAGGCCACTGCCCAGAATTTCTGTTCCATATTATAGTCCAATCTAGCATCTGGCTGGCTTAGCTTGTGTTCACAACTGCAGTCCATTGTGTGGGGGTTTGCATGGCCCTGGACCATGCAGGGAGCAAGAGAGCGCAAGTGCAAAACAAGAGAGAGGGAACTCTTTGTTAGGGGATTTTTTTTTTTTTAAATGTATCTTTATTGATTTCAGAGAGAGGAAAGGAGAGGGAGAGAGAGAGCTAGAAACATCAATGATGAGAGTCATTGATCTGCTGCAGCCCGCAACCCGGGCATGTGCCCTGACAGGGAATCGAAGCCTGATCGCCTGGATCCTAGGTCGATGCTTAACCGCTGAGCCATGCCCGGCCAGGCTGTTAGGGGATTTTAACTTTCCAAGATTTCAGATGTTTCTGATGGGGTATACCCTATAGCCAACCAATCTACTGTTCCCCAGGCTAAGCTGACAGGCAGGCACCTTCCTTGTGTCACCTTGACTTGACTTCACATTTGCTTATCTCCCCCTTCTCCTCAAAACAATCCAGTATCAGATGGGGGAGGGGAGGGGTGTTAATCCCCTTTAAGGAACAATGCTGTGTGAAGCTGTAGCTTCCTGGTGATGCTTCCCAGGTGACCATGCTTACAATGTCTGGCCTCCCCTTTGCTCTTCCTATTATTAATATTAATAAAGTAGCTAATTACAACAATAACAAGACTGGTGTCACTCATACTAAAAGCACATGATACTAAACCTAGATTTAACACCTGATCTAATTATAGTTTCAACCACTCCCAGAAACAGTCTTAATCAACCAGTCTGGAATTTTTTGGTCAAGCACCAGTCATGATTTGCCCTCTCCATTCCCCATAGAAAGAAAAGGCAATCTGCATGATAAAAACCCTTCCCTTTCCCTTCCCCCAAAGAAAATATGTTCCAGACCAAAAATAATTATTTTGCTTCTTCTGTTAATAATGCCTTTGATTCACCCTGCTTCCCATAAAAATCTTCCATTTTATAAAACCCCTTTGTTACTGAATAGAAAAAGATCATCCACCTGGCACTAGCAGAGCCAAATACTAAACACTGAGAATTGCTGTGGAGGAAGATTTGCTGTTTTATGAATGGAACCTCCCAGGAGAACGGGAAGCTAATGTTCAAAAGCCCAAACACCAGGGTGGTTTTCAGACAAGGGGTTTTATAGAGCAAAATCATGAGTCATTATGAGTAAGGAGTTTAGAGTTGAGGGCCTTGCTGATTGGTTAAGAGTGAGGTAGGCCGTAAATCATTATTTCAGGTCTTCAGTTCAACTTAGCATCCCTCAGTCTAGTTTCCTTGGAATGTCGCCAGGGGTGTTCTCCTTTAGGGCTCAGGAGCTGAATCACAACTTAAGCTATGATGTTATCTTTAGCTTAATACAAACCCATAGCTTGTGACCCTTAGTCAAGGCATGGCTGTTGTTTCTGGCTGCCTCGGGTTAATGACTAGTAAGGGAAAGGGTCAAATCTCATGGGACGTGCTGTAAAGAAACTGAATAGATTGCTGGCGCTACATAGTGAATCAAAATTGTGCATTAAATCAAGACCCTCAGTTTCACCTTCTACTTGCGACATGGGATGCTGCCCTGTTCATGAATTTCTTAATAAAACCAATTAGATCTTAAAATTTAGTCCATTGATTTTTGTTTTTTAACAGCATCATTTGAAGCAATTTGTTTTATGCTAATTAAGTGACTTTTAGTAAAGTCTCATTAAAACAAATTAATTCTGGGGGAAACCAGTTTGAAATTAAAGTAAGTTATTTTGAAGAATCCACTTTTACTTGTTTCAGTCAAGACAGCTCAAAATGTGACTAACAAATACAATCAAGTTTGTTTTCTTAGTAAAAACCTCAAGCAGACTTAAAAAACAGAATGAGGAGATCAATGTCCAAACATTCATATGCTATTTGTTATTCCCTGACTGATTAAGTTAATGTTGTTAATAAACTAAAGGTCCTAAATCTGACTCCTTGGGTATCAAATTAAGATCCATAAATTGTATTCTACCTTATTATTTTCAAGTGCCTCTTATTTGTCCAAAGGGGTATAATTTTAGAAATTCTAGATAGATAAATACATATCTACAGTATTAGAAAACCCAAATGGAATGAAAAAAAAAAATCATATCTGTTTATTATTTATCATTTCAAGTGTGCTTATGAAATTCATGAAAGTCATGTGTTCAATAATGATAACATTGTTCAATATTTTACAGCATTAATTTATGCTTTTGGGGAAGAGTTACAAAATTAATATATGCACAGTGGGAAGAAATGATTAATTTTACAAAGGTATATTGCAACCCAGGAATTATCCAAATTTTTACAAGTTTTAAATTCGTCAAGCCTGATTTAGTATAGTTTGGCTAAATTTCAAACTGACTTTCAAGTCTTACACCTCTGATTCAGTCTCAAGAAAAGTGGAGAGGATGTGGCCTACTAAGTGATACAATCGACATCTATATCCTTGATTGAGGAGCGATTGCAATCTTCAGGATGTAGTTTTGAAGAAAAGCACACAATTTTAAAATATGTACTTTAAAGTCCAAAAATTTGAACTACCAGTGTGAGAGGAGGTATGACTGGAATAGTTAAAAGTCATATTGAATTAGACATTTTTATGTAACACCATTTCTTCTGTGAATAAGATGATCTGTCAATATTTTTCATCTAGCCAGTTACTTCTGAGTGTATGCTACTCAGTGGAGTACAGTATAATTAACTCTACTAACTTCTTGCCAATTACTGATTCATTGATTGGTTTATGAACTTATAATCTTGTTAGGGATACAATAGTTTCTTCCATAGTTAGTGCTTTTTGCTTGGGTTTCTTTTATTAGGTAAGTCTTTTTAAGTATTTGGCAGTCTTGATTGTTCTTACTGGCTGAGTTTGCACATGATACAGATAGGGACTTTCCAACCTTGTTTTTGATAAACATTGTACTTGCCTCTAAAAGTTTTAAAGGAAATATTTGTTTTATAAAATTTTTTTTACAGTTTCTTATGAAATATCTCATATTTAGCAAGACATTCAATACTCATTTACAAGATTTAAAAAGAATCTGAAAATAGAAGCGTAGAAACTACTGAAACTACAGTGCAAGCTGAAAATGAAATTATTTCTGTTCTATTAAAATCATAAAAGTCTTTGATAGTGTCTCCCTCAACCATTCAGATACCAACTAATTAAAATTCATTATGCAGATAGTGACTTTGAGGGCTTTTTTTTTTTTTTAAATGGGCAAAAATAACAATAGGTTCCCATTAAGCAGAATTGTTCTTAGTTGTAAAAGCCAACTATTCAACAAATTAAAGTAACTTCTGAACCATAAAATCATAGGTCTACTTATTCTTTGAGTAAAGAAAATAAAAATGGTATTGTCCATTTCCTTATCAGAAATATCCTTATAAGTCCATTTTCTTTAGCATTTTTTGTTAGACTCTTTAGAAAATATTTATGTACATAACTAGGGTACATATCTTAAAGTTCCAAGTTAGATTTTCAAAAATTAACATCATTTTTAAATAACACTGAAAAAAAATCAAATTACCCAGAGCACCATTTCAATGTTCAAGGGCCAGTGGGGTCATAAACACTCACTTTCCCTAATATCTGTGTAGTACTTAGAAGAAACAGAGAGCTACTTAAAAATGGTGGTTGACCATGTGAGGGAGGGGAAAATTTCCCCTCTTTTCTAATTTAGTTTGTCTGACTTGTCTAATAATCAAAATTGATACAAAACAGATCAACAGGAAAAACCATACTTAACTGTGTGTGTATATTCAGGCATCACATAAGACTATGGGACTGGAGGACAAGTCCTGCAGTTGAGGCTTATATGCCATTCTGTACTGAGGAGGATGACGTAGTAGTTTGGTCTTCAAAAGGAAGGCAGGCAATTCAGAGTTAAATGAGAAAGAGCAAACATTTGGTAAACAAATTCTTGCCGGGTCACCCAGAAACACTGGGACACCGAGGGGAGTCTAACAAACAGATCTTGCTAGGTTCGTTCAGGTCTTCCACACTTAGTCCATATTATACTAAGGTGATAACTCCCTTCCTGGAGCATGTTTTTCTATTTGAATTCTTTTAGGTAGGTCAGGGATGGTGAAAGCCCTTCCTGAGTCCATTGTTTCTTAAAAATTACTAGCTCAACATAATAAATATCCCCAAAAAGGC